GATAATCGATTGGAAAAAATCGTTGAAAACTGAAAGTTACAGAGAAGTTGGGAACCATCGGGTTGAGGGCGCGGCCAATGGGCCATAGCTATGAATAGTCGTCGTGGCTCGACACAAACAGCAAAATGAATGTTTTATAATGTCGCAGAGATTCGTTGTGCCATCCAAATACCACCGGCATCTCATGGACACTGAACACCCAGAGGAACAAAGCCAAGCAAAACATTGACCTCTGATTGATTGCATATCGATGCACCAAATCCCATCTGTCCGTGGATTCATAACTCAGTAGAATCCTCAATTCCATCCAGACACTTTATAAATAGGAACGGTCTGGAGAACGATGAGGGGAACCTTTTGACGAAATCATTCGAGGCGTTAGAAAAATCCATCTGACATTTTCAAAACATTTTTATCTCACATGTGAGAGCGCGTAATTCAGTCAACGAACGTTCAATTCAGTTCATGACTGCAATTCTCCTTGAATTACGTTCCAATTTATTATGCGCTGGGACCAATTTATGGAACAAAGGTGGAATTTTTGTGATGAACAATATCCACGGAGAGGAGTCTGGAAAGTCAAAATGATTCATTAAAAATTATGGAATAATTGACGTCAAGAATTCATGAACGTTCAAAAATTTTTATGGAGCTGTTGCGTTGTTTGTACGTTATGTCCCATAAAATTCTTCAATAATTATAGAAAAATGACGGACCGACTCGTCAACACAAGAATGAGTCATCGGACTATTTGGTAATTTTTCCGGGGCAGATCTAAGAAATTCCCGTGACAATTCGTACAATTTATTTTTCAACTCACCCCATTTTTTTATTGAAATTCTCATATTGTTAATTTGAATTGTATAATTTTTTAGATTCGACAGAACGAACGATAATGGATTCCACGCAGAGAGACACCGTCACAACGAGTAATTCATTTACCACATCCCCGACGGGGATGTCGTCGACGAGCGGCGGTCAAGTCGTTCCCCAGATCCGGGCAGAAGCGAACCCGGTGAATCGAAAACGTCGGATGACAGAACAGCCGCCGTCACAAACCCCGAAAGCACCTCGACAAGGCTTGGTAAATCCAGTGGATGATCAAACGAATCGAGCAACAGATCTCCCCGAGATCGGGGCTGACGAGTCCCTCCACGATTACATCAGACTGACCAAAAAACCGCCGGTGCATCCAGACGTTCCTGGTAAACGTCAACTGGAGGTGCAGAATTCAAATCGAAAGAATGACTCAGCGAGACTCAGAAAGACTATTCAGTGGTTGGAAGACGGGGCGAGAAGACTCCGCGAAGATCTCGCCGATGCAAGATCCGAACTCAACGAGGAAAGAAGAGCCTCAAAAATCTTCAAACGTGATGTTGAAATTGCCCTGCGTGAGGCAAGATATGAGGAAGCTGTCAAGCACCAGAGGATCATTAACGAATTGAAATTACGATTGGCGCAATTGCCATCAAGAGGACCTGATCCAATCAATCTGAATAATGCCAGAGGTGAAATGCTGAAGGATGAGAATCACAGGCGTGAAATAACAATTGCCAAAAAAAGACTCGCTGAGGCGGATGAGACGATACGAAAGCTCAGGTCAAGCTCACTTGATCTTGGTAGTACCGACATGAATAAAAGACGGAAGTTGAATGCCCCTGACATTCAGAGAATGGATCATGAGATTAAACGACTCCGTGAGACCAATAAACGACTTGAGGACAAGCTGCAAGTGAGTAGATCGAAATTACTCAACTATTCTTGATGATCATTATTGCGATTCCATTGCACTGATTCTTAATCAATTCTTCGCTTATTCGATCGCTTTCCATTCGTCCAAACGAGAACGGAACCCCACTTGGGAAAAGAAAAGCCCCAAATTGGGAAAGGCCTCCCCGGTGAATCCTCCGGGGCCAAGAATTCCCCGAAAAGAAACCCGCCAACCAATTTAACCAAACAAAAAAACCGAACTCCCCCCTAAAAGGGCCCGAATAAAAATTAAGGGGCCCCAGTATTTCCGTATTGATTCCTCGATCAGGGCCTTTCCTGGGGTCGATTCTCTTTGGAGTTAGATCTGCCCGGGGTCTCCTGTTTTATTACAAGATGGAAATGTAGGGCAGAGTTACCTTTCGAGCTTGGTCGATAAAACGAGTCCCAAAATAATTGATGAACACTTCGATCACGGGCTGTAGGTAAAGTGGGTCCGTACCATTCGCCGGGGCCTCACTAGGTATAATTAATTAGTTCTGGAGTTGCCTTTCCCTCAGGGATTGTAATGCCTAGAAAGGAGTTCTTTCCAGTCTTTCCAGAAATATATTCATTATTTTGAAACTTGTAAGATCATTTTTCGAATGGAATAAATATTTTTCCCTCCATTTGTTGTTGTTAATTTATCTGAGCAAAACGAGGCAATAATTTTCGTCCTAATGTAGTCAGGATTTAATTCAGGGGCTGACGTCTTCTAGTTCATCCAGATCGATACCTTTTAAGTTTCGAGAGATAAAACGAAAATACTCAAAACCCTTTCAAACACGAGAGATAAGGCCTTTCAAAATATTTTGAAGGGTACTTTATTGTTTTTTTTTTCGTCTCTTAGATTGTGACGGAAGCTGAGAGAGTCCGTACTTTTGAGCTGCGAGCCCAACACGAGAATCACGAAGCCGAGATATGTGCTCTCAAGAAAGCACAACGTACAGATACCATTAGAATGGTGAGTCACTTTAAAATGCATACCTCATAAGATTCTTTCCTTGCAAGATCCTTTTCTTCGAACTCCGATGAAAATATTCACTGTCCGGAGACGCTGTTCACCATCTGAGAAGAAATTTAGGATTCCTATAAGTAATTACTTCCGCCGGTGACTAATTAGAATTCAAACGTAACGGGGAATGTACGATTCGTATCGTTCTGAGTTTTATTTTTAATGGAAATATGCATGTTGTGGAGTTTAATTTTAAAAGTGAGAAGAATTCCCTTTTAAATTTATGAGTCTCGGGAATTTGAGGGACTGATGCTCGGGGATATAGAAAAAAATTATAATAACAATTAGAATTAATTCAGTAACTGAAATTATTCATATTGTTCTATCGATTCAATTTTTCATTGAAATTTCACTTTTACATTTGAATTTTTTTTATTTCTATCGTTGATTTTTTATTTTTATTTTAGATTTAGATTACAATTTTTTATAATTATTCTGATTTTCAATTTTTGAAACTCGTAACTTACGAATTTTAATCTCGTGATGATTTAAGACTTCAAATCTCGCATTTGACATGCAAAAATTTTTCGTTCCGATTAGAATTATTTTTTTTTTATATATTTTTTCAAAATTTCGGGATGTAGTGTTTTCTTGCAATTTGAAAAAATTAATTTTTTACCTCCACGCATGTGAAAGGAGGAGAGACGGTCAGGAAGTTGTGGGTTTGACCCTTGAAGAGTCACGCCAATTGCAGAACGTACCACGCGTTATTTATCCGTCGCACCCATAATGGGAGGGCGCTTCCACTGGTAACCAACAAAGGTCCTCATATTTTAACCATCGAATTGATTTCATCTCGAATCGACACAACGATTTCCCACTAAATCCACCTGAGAACT